GAGGCTTGCGGCCACAAGCCCCCAGGACGCGGAGCGGAGGAGCGAGAGGGCGGGAAGGAGCCTCCTGGAGCCCGTGGAGGGAGCGGGCCCGAGACTCCCGCGTCCCGCACTCCCGGGATCCGGACCCAGAGGGACACGTCGCTTTGGTTTAGCTCCCAGTTTATGGGGACTGATTGCGCAGCCCAGGGAACAGATACAGCTAACCCTCACCCGACCAAGCACTGTGGACTGGCAGGGAAGTCCGCGGGTCGAAGGAGACACCAGGGAGAGCCACACACACAGGAGATAAGGAGAACGAACCGGGAGGCCTGGAGGCTCGTGTCCTTGGATCTCTCTCTTGCCTCACTCCCGCCTCTGCCTCCTCCGTCTGCCTCCACGTGGCTTCTCCTCCCCGTCTGCGTCCCCTCTGCCGTCTCTCACGAGGACGCCTGACACTGCATTTAGGGCCCTCCCTGATCTACAACCACTTCATCTTTAATTGCATCTGCAGACACCTTATTTCCGAATGAGCTCCCCTTCGCACCTGCCAGGTAGACGTGAGTTTGGCGAAGGAGGGAGGGAGACCGCCATTCACCCCAAGGCAGGACTCAAGAAAGAATTAATGAGCAGAAAAGCGCACGCCTCCTTCCTTCTTCGCGCAGGCCGCCCTCCATCACGACTAGCGCGCAGGTGCAAGTGGGGGTAAGCGCTTATCTCGGGGGTCCCGGAAGCCGCGCCAAACGCCCACCACCTCCCCGAGAGCACTGTCCGCGGAGCAGGGCTGCATCTCCTTGGGAACAAACCGGCGCAGGGGCACCCACCTTCGCGGAAGCCGACCCGTCCTTCCGCGGGGAACGCGCCGTGCTCCCGGGCCGCGCGCACCACCTCCGGGATGTCGAACACGGTGACCTGGCAGCCGGGGTACAGAGACGCGCACTCCCTGGCCAGCGCCCCGGAGCCGCCTGGAAGAATGGGCGGAGAACCTGTGAGCATCGGCGACCCGCCGGGCAGCGTCCCGTCCCACCCGCCGCGGCGCGGTCCCGGCTGCGCACGCGGTCCTCCCCATCTGCCGCGCAAGTTTCCGTCATCATCCACGCGGCCCTGAGTCCCGGTGATCTTCCTGCGGGGGGCCGGGCCGCGCTGCAGGCTCCCCGCACTGCCTCGACTTACCTGTCTGTGTGCCCCTGTGGTGGGCGCACCTGCCCGGCCTGCCCCGACAACGGGCAAGCAAAGGAGACGGAGTGAAACCTCCGAGAGGCGCGCGCTCTAGTCCCTCCTGCGCCCCGCAGACCTGCGCCCCGCAGACCTGCGCCCCGCAGACCTGCGCCCCGCAGACCTGCGCCCCGCAGACCTGCGCCCCGCAGACCTGCGCCCCGCGCCGCCTGCGTCGTGGCGTCGCCCCACGCTGCTCCCCGACAAGGCAGCCCCGAACCCCACTCGTCCTCACGGCATCTCATGATAACTCGAAATAAATAACCCATCGTAGTCATGATCCCTGCACACGCTCCTCCTCCTTCCGCGAGGGACCTGCCACGACCCCGGGGCTGCTCTGCGCGACCCCTGCGCGCACATACGCGCGCGCTTAACCATCACGCCGGCATCATCCCAGCTCTGACATACACCTGAGGAAACTGAGGCACCGGGAGAACCTGTGCAAAGTCACGCAGCAAGGGACGGGGCAGAAGGCGCTTTGCTACCCAGGCGGGTGGCTTGTGGCTCAGTGTTAAACCCCCGAAGCGGGGCGCTCGCTGCCCGCAGACGGCAGAGGGACGCTGCGCTGGAGATCCTGCTTGGAGACTTTCTACTTTCTCATTCCCCTTTGCCTCTGTGGGTTCCGGGGGCACCTGAGAGCCAGGCATGGTGGAGTGGTGCCTTGAACCCTGACGTCGTCACAAGCAGCAGCAGCATAAAACCCCCAACCGCTGCGGAGCGTCCCTGGTGTGGGGAGGCCATGCCTGGCGGACACCATCCGTGCCTGCTGCGCCTACCCCAGACGGCATCTCAGGCTCGCGTTTCCCTCCCAGGAGCTCACGTTTCTGGCCGGTTCCTGGCGCCTCCCCCGCGGGGAGGAGCGGCGGGC